CCCATTGCGGCCCTCAAGTCAAAAAGTTTGCCCACCCCTGTTCTAGACATTGATTAAGCTTTTGATTTTTTTTTTTATCCATCTCGTGACCTGTGCCTGCGCACAACTTTATCCCAGAGATCCTTTGACAGTGCCTTGCCACCCATAGTTGATTGTTTGCTTCAGCTGCACTACCAGAAACTGAAATGCTCCAGGAAAGCTTTTTTTCATACAAAGCTAATCAGAATGACCACATCTGATCACAGTTAATCCAATGACTTTTTTTGCCATTGAGAAGGTGATAAGCTACACCTGACTGAGTTAACAAGTAATTTTAGGAGAAGTGGTCTCTTTTCCATCTCAGTGATTCTGTTTTTGAATTTTGTAAATACAGCTGGATACAACAAAAACTGTGTCTGTCTTCATTTCAGGCTGCAAAGCAACTAAAAGTGATTATTTTAAAAGGGGGTGAATTTTTTATATTCCACTGTATTTCATTGTGTCCCCACTTTTGCTGGTCAGCAGTATTTGTCATAGGGTTCCTCTATTGCTGGACAGCAGGATGTGCCATAGTAGGCTCAATTCACAAAGCGGCATTTACCACTTTAGTAACTGCGGTAAAATACTGATCCTGTGTTTTGCAATTCACCATGAAATGCTACTAAAATACTGCATGAGCTATTTTATGACATAATGCAGTATTTAGTAATGAAAGCTAGTGGTATTTCTAAATACAGCTGGTAGCTGGTGTCCTTAACCACCAATAAATATCATATCATGTCATATCGGGTGACCCTCTCCTTAGTTTATTTAGCGACTGGAGGCAGCGGAGCTGTCATTCGGCAGCAGCCAAGCATCCATGCAGGTCTGTTTATTTTGTTTTTTTACGGGTCAGCGGTCGACGTTCATTGTGATTTACGATGGATCTACTTGGGGGAACTTGTCTAAACTGGCTATGTGTTTTTTTTGGTGAATGCATAGGGGTACTATGTACACCATACTCCTTCCCATACTCATGTTCCTTCCTTTCCTGGCCTGCCGGGCTGCATGCTCGGATGAGGGTCTGGTATGGATTTTGGGGGTGAGCCCATGCTATTTTTTTCTTAATTTTGGTGTGGGGTTCCCCTTAAAATTCATACCAGACCCAAAGGATTGTGGAGACACCACTCTGTTTTTTCTCTATATTTTTAAAGCCGACATTGTTTACATTCTGCTGTCAGCGGGGAATCCCGCTGACAGCAGAGGGGTCATGGTTGTTAAGGACACAGAAGCTGCCCACTCCTTAACAACTGTGCTATTTACTGGTTGTTAAGGACGCCAGCGGAAGCCCACTGCTTAACAACCATGCTATTAACTGGTTGTTACGGACACTAACAGGTGCTGGCTCCTTAACAAGCAGTGTTAAGTGATTTCTTGAATAACTCGTGGCTAGGCCACAACTTATTCAACAAATGTATTTATTTATTTTTGTTTTGTGAATCGACTTTAGAGTCAGCAGTATGTGTCATATTGTCCCCTATCTTGCTGGTCAGCAGCATGTGCCATGGTGTCCCCTATATTGCTGGTCAGCACCATGTGCCATGGTGTCCCCTATATTGCTGGTCAGCACATGTGCCATGGTGACCCCTATATTGCTGGTCAGCACCATGTGCCATGGTCAGCAGTATGTGTCATGGTGTCCCCTATCTTGCTGGTCAGCAGCATGTGCCATGGTGTCTCCTATTTTGCTGGTCAGCAGCATGTGCCATGGTGTCCCCTATATTGCTGGTCAGCAGCATGTGCCATGGTGCCCCCTATATTGCTGGTCAGCAGCATGTGCCATGGTGCCCCCAATATTGCTGGTCAGTGTGCAGCAGCATGTGCCATGGTGTCCCCTATATTGCTGGTCAGCAGCATGTGCCATGGTGCCCCTATATTGCTGGTCAGCAGCATGTGCCATGGTGTCCCCTATATTGCTGGTCAGCAGCATGTGCCATGGTGTCCCTTATATTGCTGGTCAGCAGCATGTGCCTTGATACCCCTATATTGCTGGTCAGCAGCATGTGTCATGGTGCCCCCTATATTGCTGGTCAGCAGCATGTGCCATGGTGCCCCCAATATTGCTGGTCAGCAGCATGTGCCATGGTGCCACCTATATTGCTGGTCAGCAGCATGTGCCATGGTGCCCCTATATTGCTGGTCAGCAGCATGTGCCATGGTGCCCCCTATATTGCTGGTCAGTACCATGTGTCATGGTGTCCCCTATATTGCTGGTCAGCAGCATGCGCCATGGTGCCCCTTATATTGCTGGTCAGCAGCATGCGCCATGATGCCCCCTATATTGCTGGTCAGCAGCATGTGCCATGGTGCCACCTATATTGCTGGTCAACAGCATGTGCCATGGTGCCCCTATATTGCTGGTCAGCAGCATGTGCCATGGTGCCCCTATATTGCTGGTCAGCAGCACGTGCCATGGTGTCCCCAATATCTTGCTGGTCAGCAGCACGTGCAATGGTGCCCCCTATATTGCTGGTCAGTACCATGTGTCATGGTGTCCCCTATATTGCTGGTCAGCAGCATGCGCCATGGTGCCCCTTATATTGCTGGTCAGCAGCATGCGCCATGATGCCCCCTATATTGCTGGTCAGCAGCATGTGCCATGGTGCCCCCTATATTGCTGGTCAGCAGCATGTGCCATGATGCCCCCTATATTGCTGGTCAGCAGCATGCGCCATGGTGTCTCATATATTGCTGGTCAGCAGCATGTGCCATGGTGTCTCATATATTGCTGGTCAGCAGCATGTGCCACGGTGCCCCCTATATTGCTGGTCAGCAACATGTGCCATTGACAGCAGTATGTGTCATGGTGTCCCCTATCTTGCTGGTCAGCAGCATGTGTCATGGTGTCCCCTATCTTGCTGGTCAGCAGCATGTGCCATGGTGTGTCCCCTATATTGCTGATCAGCAGCATGTGCCATGGTGTCCCCCTATCTTGCTGGTCAGCAGCATGCGCCACGGTGTCCCCTATATTGCTGGTCAGGAGCATGCGCCATGGTGTCCCCTATATTGCTGATCAGCAGCATGCGCCACGGTGTCCCCTATATTGCTGGTCAGCAGCATGCGCCATGGTGTCCCCTATATTGCTGGTCAGCATGCGCCATGGTGTCCCCTATATTGCTGGTCAGCAGCATGTGCCATGGTGGCCCCTATATTGCTGGTCAGCAGCATTCGCCATGGTGGCCCCTATATTGCTGGTCAGCAGCATGCGCCATGGTGTCCCCTATATTGCTGATCAGCAGCATGCGCCATGGTGTCCCCTATATTGCTGGTCAGCATGCGCCATGGTGTCCCCTATATTGCTGGTCAGCAGCATGTGCCATGGTGGCCCCTATATTGCTGGTCAGCAGCATTCTCCATGGTGGCCCCTATATTGCTGGTCAGCAGCATGCGCCATGGTGTCCCCTATATTTGCTGGTCAGCAGCATGCGCCATGGTGTCCCCTATATTGCTGGTCAGCAGCATGCGCCATGGTGTCCCCTATATTGCTGGTCAGCAGCATGCGCCATGGTGCCCACTATATTGCTGGTCAGCAGCATGCGCCATGGTGGCCCCTATATTGCTGATCAGCAGCATGTGCCATGATGTCCCCTATATTGCTGGTCAGCAGCATGCGCCATGGTGCCCCCCTATATTGCTGGTCAGCAGCATGCGCCATGGTGGCCCCTATATTGCTGGTCAGCAGCATGTGCCATGATGTCCCCTATATTGCTGGTCAGCAGCATGCGCCATGGTGGCCCCTATATTGCTGGTCAGCAGCATGCGCCATGGTGGCCCCTATATTGCTGGTCAGCAGCATGTGCCATGATGTCCCCTATATTGCTGGTCAGCAGCATGCGCCATGGTGGCCCCTATATTGCTGGTCAGCAGCATGCGCCATGGTGGCCCCTATATTGCTGGTCAGCAGCATGCGCCATGGTGGCCCCTATATTGCTGGTCAGCAGCATGCGCCATGGTGGCCCCTATATTGCTGGTCAGCAGCATGCGCCATGGTGGCCCCTATATTGCTGGTCAGCAGCATGCGCCATGGTGGCCCCTATATTGCTGGTCAGCAGCATGCGCCATGATGCCCCCTATATTGCTGGTCAGCAGCATGCGACCATGGATGCCCCCTATATTGCTGGTCAGCCGGTGCAAAAAAATAGATGGTCAGGAGAATGAAAAATGTCTAGCATCAGTAGAAAAAATATGCCTGCCATTGGTGGTCAGCACAACAAAACAGGCACCACAAAGGTCCAGTTGACAGGACAGCAGTGCGGTGCTTTTTCCTGCATCAAATAAGCATGGAAAGTAGGTTATATGGGTTCCAATGGCATAGTTCACACCAGTGCAGCGCCTTCCAGTGCTTTTCAGTTCCAGAAGAAAAGTACAACATGCTGCTTTTTTCCTGCACAAAACTGTACTTGAATGCAGTAAAAGGCATCAGACCTCAGTATAGTGGGGGGAAAAAAGAACAAAAATCTGGAATGCAACAAAAACACGTTAAAAAAGGCATGCAGAAAGCATCTGGAACAGATCTGGAGGACTTTTTTGGTGAACTGGCCCTGAAGCTTTGTGGGTGTCTTTGCAGGTATACACGTATCCATTTCTCTAAAATATAAATATATATAGATAAAAGTTGTATAAAATACATTCCTCTTCTGTAGATGTAACGTGTCCGTGTCAGTAACATGTAATGACCATGGCAGGCTTTGCTGTGATGAAGGAATTCCCGTGTATGAGGGGCCCCCCATTCTGACAGATGACGATATCCGGGTACCCACACACAGCGCAGCTCACCTCTGTTTCCTAGGACAGCTCTGACACCTAGCGGCCGCGGGTGGCATTCCCATAAATGAGAGGCGGGAACCCGTAGTCACGGTGGAAGTTTCTGGCCGGTGATTTTTGTTTCGTGCACGTCACGTGAGCAGTGCCGGTGGTGGGCTCTGTCCTTGAGGGAGGTGGAAGTTTGGGCCATGCAGGCGGTATGGCGGGTGGTGTGTGCCATGTCCGGAGGGGTAGACAGTGCTGTAGCTGCTCTGCTGCTGAAGAGGAGAGGTGAGGACATGAGATAGGACATGGAGTCATTCATTCTTCCTGGGAGCTGGACATTGTACACATGGGCCAGGCCGAGGGCTCCTCCTACACTGGACTGCTGGTGAGAGCTCCTGGCAGGTCGGGTTATGGACATGGTACCACCATAGGAGTCCTCCCACATGGACACATTATATCCCAGGGGCCCCATTGGGGGACAGGGCCCATAATATATGACCGGCTGATGGTCCTCAATAAGAGGTGACTTGTGATTAGTGATCTCCAGCTGTGTGCTCCATCATCCCCTCTGTGATCCCCACAGACCACCTCTCCTTCACACCCCACATGACACACAGTACTGGAAGAATGGCACATCTGATCATTTGGGGATGGAGAAGCAGATGCACAGCTCTTCTGGCCATACTTCTCCTTTAGGTCACAGAACTACACTTAGTTCTGCGCTCCCATCACCCACATTTAGATGACAGTCGGCCAAAGCCGATGTCACTCAGGTGCTCCAGACTGGAGGGATCCTGACTTTTACCCTTTTGCTGCCAGAGCTATTTTTGCTTATATAGTGCATCGTCTATATAATAGTGTGCCATCATTGGTGTCAGTGGCAGGAGTTATACCCCACTGTTGATATCAGTGGAAGGAATAGTGCCCCTTGGTTCAGATAAAGGCAAACAAGGAGCCACAGTTTGGAGACCACTTTTCTAGTGTATTTGAGAAAACTGCATTTTAAGTAAATTAACCCCTTGATGCCAATGGCACACAAATTAGTGGCCTCATAGAAATTGGCTTTTTTTTCCCTTGGGCCACTAATTTGCTGGAAGCTCTCCACAAGGAACGCTCCCAGCACAAAGACCGGGGTGTCACTGAGAGCCCTGATCCAGGTCACCTGATCACTGTGATAGCCTTTGATTGGCTATCACGGTGATCAATCACTGTGAAGTCTGCCCCCCCCCCCTCTTGTTTTCTCTCTGAATGGAGGAGAGAGATACATTGTACCTTTCTGTCCTTTCAGAGAGAGAAAAAAAAGTGCGTGGAAAAGATAAATTCATAAAAAAAATAAAAGTACCTAGATCAAGGTTTGATCTAGGTCTGTGCCAAGGTTAGTGTTTGGTCAGGTGTGGGTTTTTATTTTATTAGTATCAGTGTCATTCAGTGGCACGATAAAAACAAAACAAATTGTGCACTGTTGTTTCTGGGCTGTATTACAAGTATAAACAACAACATACACACATTTGGTATTGCTGCGATCATCAGGAGCAGGAGAAATTATTTTGGGTTTTGCTTTGGTGGTAGGTTATGGTAGTAGCAAGAAATATACAGTGAAGGAAATAAGTAATTGATCCCCTGCTGATTTTGAATGTTTGCCCACTCACAAAGAAATGATCAGTCTAAAAATTGAATGGTAGGTGTATTGTAACACCGAGACAGAATAGCAACAAAAAATTCAAAAGAAATGCATGTCTAACAAATTATGCATTGATTTGCATGTTCATGAGGGAAATAAGTATTTGATCCCCTATCATTCAGCAGGAATTCTGGCTACCAGGTATCTTTCATACAGGTAACAAGCTGAGATTAGAAGCAGCCTCTTAAAGGGAGTGCTGCTAATCACATTTTGTTATCTGTATAAAGACACCTGTCCACAGGAGCAATCAAACAATCAGATTACAAACTCTCCACAATGGCAAACACCAAAGAGCTGTCCAAGGATGTCAGGGACAAGATTGTAGACCTACACAAGGCTGGACTGGGCTACCAAACTATTGCCAAGCAGCTTGGTGAGAAGGTGACAACAGTTGGTGCAATCATTCGCAAATGGAAGAAACCCAAAACAACTGTCAGTCTCCCTAGGTCTTGTGCACTATGCAAGATCTCACCTCGGAGTGTCAATGATTGAGAACAGTGAGGAATCATCCCAGAACTACATGTGAGGATCTTGCCAATAATCTCCAGGCAGCTGGGACCACAGTCACCAAGAAAACAATTGGTAACACACTACACTGACAATGATTGAAATCCTGCATTGTCCGCAAAGTCACTCTGCTCAAGAAAGTACATGTCCAAGCCCGTCTGAAGCTGGCCACTGAATATCTGAATGATGCAGAGGAGGACTGGTTGAAAGTGTTGTGGTCAGATGAGACCAAAATTGAGCTCTTTGGCATCAACTCAACTCGCTGTGTTTGGAGGAGGAGGAATGCTGCCTATGACCCCAAGAACACCATCCCAACTGTCAAACATGGTGGTGGAAACATTCTGCTTTGGGGGTGTTTTTCTGCTAAGGGGACAGGACAACTGCACCACATCAAAGGGACGATGGATGGGGCAATGTACCGTCAAATCTTGGGTGAGAACCTTCCCTCAGCCAGGGCATTGAAAATGGGTCGTGGATGGGTGTTCTAGCTTGACAATGACCCAAAACACACGGCCAAGGCAACAAAGGAGTGGCTCAAGAAGAAGCACATTAAGGTCCTGCAATGGCCTAGCCAGTCTCCAGACCTTAACCCGATTGGCAACTCAAACTTTCAGCTCCCTCCACAAATTTTCAAACGCCAACCACCCAAACCTTAATGACTTGGAGAGGATCTGCCAAGAGGAGTGGGCCAAAATCCCTCCTGAGATGTGTGCAAACCTGGTGGCCAACTACAGGAAACGTCTGACCTCTGTGATTGCCAACAAGGGATTTGCTACCAAGTACTAAGTCATGTTTTGTGAAGGAGATCACATTTTTCCCTCATGAACATGCAAATCAGTGCATACTTTCAAAAACCAAATTCTCTTAAGTATCCCCAAAGAAAAATAAACCTTTCACCCTTGAAAGTACAAATATAAGAGACCTTTTCTTGAAACCATTAAAAAATCCTAATCCCCTTCCTTAACTTCAAAATGTCCTAAATAAATTCAAAATAGTCCACCACAAGTCCACACTGTTAGGTCTTCAAACGTTGAAAAATGTCCCATTCATCACTTCAAATCCAAGATACCGCAAAAAAATAAACTAAATATAGTGCATTAACTTTAAAACAATACAATATTTGTGATACCATGCAAAAACACTCGTGAAAAGCAAGAAAAGAAAAAAAAAAAAAATAAATAATATCACAACTCTTTGGTGAATCCCACATTTAAAATATACTATAAATCGGGTGAATCCACCTACACAGCCCACTCGTGAGGTGAAATTCACAGCAAATAACTTAACTTGTGATTAAGTGCAATAATCCAAAATGTGCCACCACTCTAACAGGTAAAATTCACAGCAAGTACTCAGCTCAGGGGATCAAATACTTATTTCCTTCACTGTACAGGTATGGTTTTGCTAACGTCAAAGTTGCAAAATTGTGCTTGGGCATTAAGATTTGTTTTACCCTTAGGCACGAAGGGGTTAATCTGCAGTTCACTAGTATATCAAATGGTTAAAAAAAAAAAAAAATTTAAAAAAACTACGCAGATCCGTGTATTAATGCATGTACTCTGCTGTGAGCCCTGAGTAAATGGCAACAGCATTGACTTTTTATCAGGGTGCAGGTGTGTGATATGTAATATGCAGCTCTGACCCACATGCATTAGTGCACACCAATGTACAGTACTACACTTCCATGCATTGTGGTGTGCTGTGTCAGAAAAAATGCTGCTTATAGGAGGAGTGGTTGTGTAAGTTGATATGACATGCAGTGGTGAGTTTGTACTTCATCTGAATGACAGTACATTGATGCCTCAGTAGAAAAGGTATCCCAATGGACTTGAGAACATATTCTTGATTTTATGTATGTTTTTTTTTTTTTTTTTTGTTTTTTTTTTTTTTTTTTCTTACAGGTTATCAGGTGACAGGTGTATTTATGAACAACTGGGACGTTGTAGATGAGCACGGAGTTTGCACTGCGGAAGCTGACTGTGAAGATGCCTATAAAGTCTGTGAGAAACTAGATATACCTTTCCACCGCATCTCTTATGTGAAGGAATATTGGCATGATGTGTTCAGGTAACTTTTGCACATCTACAATATATTCCCAAAAGTATTAGCACACCCCTCCAAATCATTGAAATCAGGTGTTCCAATCACCTCCATGGCAACAAATGTATAAAATCAAGCACCTAGGCATTCAGACTGCTTCTACAAACATTTGTGAAAGAATGGTTCTCTTGCAGGAGCTCAGTGAATTAAAGTGTGGTACTGTGATAGGTTGCCACCTGTGCAATAAGTCCATCCGTGAAATTACCTTGCTACAAAATATTCCACAGTCAACTGTTAGTGGTATTCTAACACAGTGGAAGCAACTGGGAACAACAGCAACTCAGCCACTAAGTGGTAGGCCACGTAAAATGACAGAGCGGGGTCAGCACATGCTGATGCGCACAGTGTGCGGAATTTGCCAACTGTCTGTAGTCAATAACTAAAGACCTCCAAACTTCATGTGGCCTTCAGATTAGCACAACAACAGTGCATAGAGAGCTTCATGGAATGGGTTTCTATGGCCGAGCAGTTGCATCCAAGCCTTACATCACCAAGTGCAATGCAAAGCGTCGGATGCAGTGATGTAAAGCATGCCGCCACTGGACTTTAGAGCAGTGAAGATGTGTTCTCTGGAGTGGCCAATCACTCTTCTCTGTCTGGTAATCTGATAGATGTTTCTGGGTTTGGCAGTTGCCAGGAGAATGGTATTTGCCTGACTGCATTGTGCCAAGTGTAAAGTTTGGTGGAGGGGGGATTATGGTGTGGGTTGTTTTTCAGGGGTTGGGCTTGGCCCCTTGGTTCCAGTGAAGGGAACTCTTGAGGCACCAGCAGACCAAGACATTTTGAACCATTTCATGCTCCCAACTTTGTGGGAACAGTTTGAGGATGGCCGCTTCCTGTTCCAACATGACTGCGCACCAGTGCACAAAGCAAGGTCCATAAAAATATGGATGAGAGTTTGCGGTAGAGGAACTTGACTGGCCTACACAGTCCTGACCTCAACCCGATAAAACACCTTTGGGATGAATTAGAGCAGAGACTACGAGCCAGGCCTTCTTGTCTGAACATCAGTGTCTGACCTCACAAATGCACTTCTGGAGAATGGTCAAACATTCCCATAGACACACTCCTAAACCTTGTGGACAGCCTTCCCAGAAGAGGTGAAGCTGTTATAGCTGCAAAGGGTGGGCCAACTCAATATTGCACCCTACAGACTAAGACTGGGATGCCATTAAAGCTCATGTGTGTGTAAAGACAGGTGTCCTTTATATACACTATATTGCCAAAAGTATCAGGATTATATCTAATGTGAGCATTTACAGGCAGAATATTAAAATACGGCAGTGATGCAGCGCTACTCTGATGATGATATTGATAATACTATATAAATAAACATATAAATGAAAACGTGTATAAAAGTGACACAATGTGCAACAAACCCATAAACGGTGACCTGATCCTCCAGGGATCTATAATAAGTGAACTGATCCTAGATGGATCCCAGGTGTACACAGTGAATGTTGAACCGCTCAAATGATGGTAATTTCAGATTTACGAATACTGATCGCATGGTATAATTGTGCATACAACCAAAGTCAGAATCCAAAGTGATGGTGTAAACAGATCAAGCAAACAAATATATGAACTTGGCCCAAATCGGACTAAATAGTGAAACGTGCAAGAGAAAACTCAAGGGAACGCATGAAAAGTGCAAAACGTGCATAAGCATAAAAAAAAATCCAAATCCCAAAAAATATAAAAGTGTTTTCATACGCAAATCAAACACAATCAATACTATGAACAAATGTGAACCTATATTATGCAAAACGCATGACTCCAAATCAAGTAGAAAGCTAGTGAAAAAAGTCTAAATTGTGGCACTACACCACTGTACTCGTGCACGTGGATGGTGTATGTGAGTGATCACATAAGGGTATCTGTCAAAAGCTGAATTGGCCGCTCACCTTCTTGCTTTGACCCGCAAGGGGTTTAAACCCTTTTTGGATCACTAACACAGATCCTCCATGTATATGATTCCTCTACTCCTGGATATCTCTTCCCTCAGCGATCTCACTTCCAGGGATGTACATATAAGTAGTAGAATCCTCGCCAGGTAAACGCATATAGTAAGAGCCAATATCTCAACAGACATAGATAAAACCTCCCAGAGTGCAATACCTTTAATTAAACTTGATAAAAGTACAGAAATCCAAGTATTGCACTCACATTTTGATCCTTAGACAAACAGCATTTCAGAACCTCATGTTCTGGGTGTATCTGCATGGGTATTCAATTTGAGTGCAGCAAGATGGCGTCTGCGCCGGAAGTGCGTCACCTTGCCTACGCATTAAATCACTGAAGTCTGTATTTTTATATCTTGAATAATTTGGGTATATGATTGGATGCTAGCAGCTTCCGTTATTTATTTAGATTAAATAAAGGTTTTTAGGTTTAAGCGCAGGAGTTTTCCACCATTATTTCACAGGCAGAATATTGCTGATGGTTGTAGAGTTTGACGTGCTCGTGTGCTGTGATATTTATTTATTTTGTTTTCTAGCTCTTTCCTGTATGAGTATGAGAAAGGAAGAACCCCAAACCCAGATATACTGTGCAACAAGCATATTAAGTTTAATTATTTCCTCACTCGGGTTGATGCAATTGAAAACTTGGGTAAGTCCTTAAAATATATATTTACCTGCTTTTGTAAATTGCTGATTTCTCTGTAGACTGCTCACAATACTGAATATTAGTGTCACAATAAACCTGCTTAAACCTATAAAGGTGTTTTTGGCAACATTTGTTTACCATTTTATGGCTACCAAAACTTTGGTTTGTGTTTATGTGTTGAAGCAATCTATTTATTTGTACTAGGAGCGGATGCTATAGCCACTGGGCACTACGCTAGGACATCCCATGAGGATGAAGAAATATTTCAGCATCCGTTTATTAAAAGTCCTCAAAGTCTTTTCAGGAATAGATTTGAAGAAAGAAATGGTAAGAGTTTTTTTCCACACATTACTGACCTTATTAGTCATTTTGGATTAATTTGACAACTTCCAGTTTTTAATGTAATTTTGCTTTGTTACTGTGCTATTGATGTATTTGACATCTATTGCACATTTTTGACACAATCTAAGGTTTGATAAAGGCAAGTTGGGTTAACTACATTTAAAGTGTTACTAAACCCAGGACCCTGCATTCACTATATCTGGTCTCCCACAGTACACACAACATGGAAATGCAATTATTATTATAGTAAATATAAACTGCTAAATATCTTTTCTCATCAGCAGTATATAGCATTCTTGTTACTTCTATCAGTGTCTGGTTAAAGCTTGTAGGAGGATTTTTCATTCTCCTCTGACTGTCCTATAAGGCTGCATAACCCATGACCCTCTTTCCAGACAGTGCTGATTGGTCACATGCACCCTTTTAAATAAAAAAAAAAAAAAAAAAAATATTCTGTAGCAATACACACCAAACTGAGCATGCAAAGAGTGTCTCCTAGGGCTCTGTACTGTCAGCAGATGGAGTGGGGGGGACTGTGGAAGGCTAGGATTAGAAAAGACAGGATTAAACAGCCTTTTTTTACACAATGCGGAGGATTACCCTCTTAGGTTCCACAGTGAGTATAACAAGCCTGCTGTACTGCATATACAGACTGATTTTACTGTTGTGGGTTTAGTAACCCTTTAACCACTTGCCGCCCAGCCACCGCATATAAACGGTGGCAGGGCGGCACTTGTAGGCAAAAGCACGTTTTAAAACGGCTGCCTTTAAAACAGGTAGGGGGCGCGCGCGCCCTACCTGTCCCGTGGGTGTCAACAGCGGGTGTTAGCCGACGAGTCCGGGGTACCGGCCGTTTTCCCGCGATTGACGGTGATCGCTGACACAGAGCAGGGCTGCATTGTTTACACACAGCCCTGTTCTGTGTCAGTTCTCTGACAGCTTGTGAGAAGCTGCAGTTTCTCTCCCTTGATCAGCTCCCCCCCCTCCAGTACACACCCCCGCCCCCTAGTAAAACACTCCCCTTACACTGCAAATTCTAAAAATGTTAACCCCTTCCTCCCCAGTGACATTAGTACAGTTTCAGTGGGTTTTTTCACTGATCACTGTATTGGTGTCACTGGGGATGTCAGTTTCCCCCCCCCCCCCCCCCCCAGTGTCAAAATGTCCGCCGCAGTCCTGCCATGAGTCGCTGGTCGCCGCCATATGTCGCTGATTGCCGCCAAAAGTCGCTGATCGGCGCCATTATTAGTATAAATAAAAATTAAAAATCCCAGTATCTTTCCCGCCATTTGTAAACTCTATAACTTTCACGTAAACCAATTAATTTACACGTATTGGGTTTTTTTTTTAGCAAAGACATGTCGCAGAATGCATTTTGGCAGAAATTTATGACTAAATTTGATTTTTGCATTTTTTTTTTTTTTTTTTTTTTTTTTTTTTTACTGGACATGTTTTATAGCAAAAAGTCCAAAATATTTTTTTTTTTTCCTCAAAATTGTCAGCCTTTTTTTTTTTATAGCGCAAAAAATAAAAACCCGCACAGGCGATCAAATACCACCAAAAGAAAGCTCAATTTGTGGGGAAAAAAAAAGATGTAAATTTCATTTATGTACCATATTGCATGACCGCGCAATTGTCCGTTAAACTAGCGCAGCGCTTTATAGCAGAAAAATGGCGTAAATTGCAATATTTATACCATAGTTTGTAGACGCTATAACTTCCACACAAAGCAATCAATATACACTTATTGGGATTTTTTTTTACCAAAAACATGTAGCAGAATACATTTTGGCCTAAATTTATAACCAACTTTGAGTTTACTATATATTTTTTATAGCTGAAAGTAAAAAATATTGTTTTTCTTCAAAATTTTTGGCCTTCTTTTGTTTATAGCATGAAAAATAAAAAGCGCACAGATGATCAAATTACACCGAAAGAAAACTCTATTTGTGTGAAAAAAAGGACGTAAATTTCGTTTGGGTGCAGCATTGCATGACCGCGCAATTATCAGTTGAATTAGTGCAGCGCTGAGTAGCAAAAAGAGGCCTGGTCATTAAGGGGGTAAATCCTCAGGAGCTCAAGTGGTTAATTCCTTTTTTTGAATAGTGTTAATTTTTTTAGATGGCAGGCAGAATGGTTTATTAAAAGTTCTGTTTTTACCGAAGTTCTCCCTCAGATTATCTCTCTAGGAGTGTCATTAGCTATACATTAAATACCTGATGAACTACATTTAGTAGAGTAAATGTATATATGCAAATATAAAAGGAAGTGCAGAGTGCAATGTGCCAATTTGATTTAACAGTAATAAACACTTAAAAGAATGTGGCAGAACTTTGGGTAAAACAATAAAAAAGGCCTCTGTGTACTGGTCCAGTGTTGACTTGAGCATTGTGGCAGGCTGGAAACTGGATCCGGCAGATGGGAAGCTTTGTAGAGCTTGGACGTCACTAGGAACCAGCGAGGAATGCACGCTCGCGTTTGCCGGAAGTGATGTAAGCAAGAACCGAAACAACAGATGGACAGGGGTGACAGGCTATGCGCTCGGAGCTCCAAGCTCCTTCTATTGGCCTGGTGTGGTATACCACTAGAATCTAATATATACACTCCAAGAAACTGAGGGGTGGAGCAAATCGGGGTCCAGCATTGCATAGGATGTCGGGGAAAAAACAAGACCGCAATGTGCACAATAGCTGGATCGGAGGGGGTACAAGGGACCCTTAAGGTCTTCACAATATTTGATTGAAGCACCCTTTAAGGTCTTGTTGTCCCCCCACATCTTCTGCAATGCTGGCCCCTGTAGTGCTCCACCCCTCTGTTTCTTGGAGTGTATTCTAGTGTTATACCACACCAGGCCAATAGCAGGAGCCTGGAACTCCGAGTGCGTAGCCTGTCACCCTGTCCATCTGTTCTGGTCCTTGCTGACGTCACTTCCACCCAACGCAAGCGTGTGTCCCACACTGGTTCTGATTGACTTCTGGGCTCTACACAACTTCCCCTGTCTACCAGACCCTGTTTCCAGCCTGCCACACTGCTCAAGTGGACACTGTATCAGTACACAGAGGCCCCTTTTTTTTTTTTTTTTTTTTTTTTTTTTTCTTTTTTTTTTCTGTGTTCTGCCACATTCTTGTGTTTATTATCATTGAATGAAATTGGCACATTGCACTCTGCAATTAGATGGCGCGTCTTTCCTTTTTTTTTTTTTTTTTTAATTATTTATTTACAAATACTTCTGGAGGAGAGCTGGCTTCTCTCTGGGACAGTGGCCGCTAATTCAGAGTAATTTCTCACCCCTATGGATCCTCTATGGCCTGCCTAATAGACTGACTTTCATCTCAGTTTTACACCGTTCTGTGCCAATCCTGAGTATTTTCATTTTTCATGAGCACTCGTACTCATGAAAATACTCCCGATACCTTAAACAATACTTTGCAGTGCAATTTGCGGTAATGGATGGAAATTACACCACAAAGATTAGCATGTGATTCCTGTCCAAATCGCATGCGGTTTCCCCACTGTACCTGTGTGTACCCATGCTTGTCATAGCCCAAGTTCACACAGGAGCGGTGTGAGAAACTTCTCAGCATGGGATGCCTGCAGGGTCTCAGTGGTAGGAGAGGAGAGAAAGCGGTGAGGATTTCCAATCCCCGCCTCTTTCTTTCCTCTCCTTGCAGCAATGACAGTTCGGGTTAGACAGCATTTGATTGGTCAGCACTGTCCATGTGATGGTGCTGACCAATCAGATGCCGTCTAGCCCAAACTGTCATCGGCAAGTACTTGAGTGAAAGTATCATTACTCCGTACTCTCCAATTTAAGTATCTGCATCCCTAATATTGGATATTTTTAGTAAAAGGTCTACGCAATTGCTTCTGATATCTGTTTTGCAATTTATGCTGTTTAATGGCCAACTCCACCCAGAATTGATATCTATCTGCATTTGTTCACTTATAGGATTAATCAACTTGTGGCTTTTAATAACTCTCTCTTCAGTGGTGAAGTCTGGCAGTGTTGCTCCTCCACAAAATCACTGAATTATAGTGAATGTCACTATGAGGGGAGTACAGTCAGTTGGAAGGGGCACCATTGTTTTGTTTTCCAGTGCATGTAATTAGGCAGAACAAAAATTTCTTGTGGGGGAACCTTACCATTAGAGCTTTCAACAGATAAATATACTAGAAATAAAACCGCATGAGATATAAGTTGCCATCGGTCATGCTGTATGTGGGTTCTAATTTTTGGTGGATTTGGACTTTATTTTTGCTTCTGTTATGCAACAGATGTGAAACTTCTCCAGGCTGCTGACCAATTCAAAGACCAGACTTTCTTCCTTAGTCAGATACCACAGTATGCACTGAGGAAAACCTTATTTCCACTGGGAGGATTGACAAAAGACTTTGTAAAGAAAATTGCCACAGAAGCTGGATTTCATCATGTTTTAAAGAGAAAAGAGGCAAGAACTTTTATTGTGTGTGTGTGGGTGTTTTTTTTTTTTTTTTTTTTTTTTTTTTTTTTTTTTTTTTGTATTCATTTTAGTGAAAATGGCTTATGGAATAATGAGTGTTACGTTGTATGTGTACATTAGACTACCACCAACAAATAATATTATGTTCTATTTCTTTTTCATGTAGAGCATGGGAATATGCTTCATTGGTGAGAGAAACTTTCACAAATTCATTCTTGAGGTACATTTTCTTAAACACTATGGGGTTTAGGAAGATAATTTTGTGTCGCAATGTTCACTGCGTAATGTTTCATTTTTATTTGAAGTATTTAGAGCCACAGCCTGGGAACTTTGTTTCTATTGAAGATGGGAAAATTCTAGGAACACACAATGGTAAGCTGAGAATATTCATTTTGTTTTACTTATGTGACTTTTGATAGTTTGTTATAAAAACATAGTGATTATAGTATAACAGGAAAGCTATAGGCAAGGGCAAAGGTGTTTATATTCTGTATACTGTTTGCACATTATTGCTGCCCTTCCATCAATATATGACCTCCTTATGGATTAAATTTGTGTGCTTATACATGCAGTGATCTAATCAGCCAGCTATGTGGCAGAAGTGCAGTAATGCAGATGAAGGTCAGGAGCTTCTGTTAATGTTCACATTAAATACTGGACTGGGGAAAAATGTGAACTTGGCGTTGTCCATGACTTCTGTTTTTCAGGTTTACCCAACTTTGAACCTCCATTCTCCTCTATGGGGAGGCAGGTGTAAACAGACGTGTCCATTAACACCTGACTACATCCGATCTGCTAAATACAGATGAATGGGGATCTATTCCTCTTCTGTTTATGGGATGGCAGTCTGGTGTAAACGGACAGGCAGTCCATTTACATCCAACCACCCATAGAGGAGAGTGGACTGCACAAGCAGTGCGGACATGGACTTGTCATCTGCCTGCTCAGTGGGGATCAGCAGACAGATCCCCTGCTGAGCAAGTGGATTGCAGCCGAAGTCTGCCCTATGTGAAAGGACCTGAACACTCCTGTCTGCAAGAACAAAAAGCTAAGGCTAGAGTGGACACACAGGGGTTTATTTACTAAAGCTGGAGAGTCCAAAATCAGACTCCCTTCTGCATAGAAACCAATCAGCTTCTAACCTCAGCTTGTTCAATGAAGCTTTGGCAATGAAACCTGGAAGCTGATTGGTTTCTATGCAGAAGGGAGTCTGATTTTGGACTCTCCAGCTTTAGTAAATAAACCCCATAGGCTCATCAGAATTGGGCAGTTGAAGGCTGAAAAAATGTAGCCTGGTATGCTGAACAAAGATGTAGAGTCAGTTTCCAGATCTGAATCCAATAGAATATTTTGGAATGTGGTAGAACGGAAGAGATTTACAGCTTCCTAATGCAATCATGGCATGTACTAAAATCGCAAAGAAATATTTGTGGTATGCGGAATCTATGCAGCAAAGAATTGAGACTGTTTTTAGAAAAAAGATGACTCTACCTAGTATTACTATGGTTTACCAAATAAATTGCTTGGTGAGCATATTCATGCATATCAGTCCTTGAGGCCTGAAACCAGTTGTGGCATGGATTAGATCTGTGATTAAATTGCATTATCCAAGAGAGCTTTTGTCCTTGTCCCTCATTGAAATTCTTTGCTTCAGATGGAATTCACACTGGACCCTTTTTCTGCATCCCTAAACACCTGCCTGCATTTCAGTGTAGTTTACAAGGGCATATTATAACTGCAGAAAACTGGGTACAATGTTGGACTCTATAGGAAGGGTCTTTTCTGTGCATTTTATGTAATCTCAACCTTTTTGAAGCACAGTTCACACTTTAATTTTAGGGTTTCTTCATATTGACAGCCAAGGGAGGGGGGATAAATGCTTGGCAGTGACCCCTGTCTTTATTTATTTATTTTTTTGGGCACCCTACCACCCACCTAAAGAAGGGAATGCAGCCACTCAAAACTGTACATGTTAAGAAGCATGTCACATTTGGCATGCAGTACTGCCACCAAACGCAATACTTTTAAGTGTATGAGACCATGCCCAACTGCTCTGTAACCACATGTAATGTATGTAGTTGCAACACTGTGTGGGCATTTACAGATTTAAAATAGGTGGTGAGAAGGCAACATACTGCCTCCTCACCACCTGTCAAACTCCCCTGAAATGCGATCTGCTTTTCAAATGGGCAGCAAGGGCTGCCTCGGCATGAATGAGCTGTTAATGTAAAATTGCTTATCAACACACCATAATGTAGTCTGCCAGACTTTTTTTGCCCAAGCAATGGGTCTCAATGAAAATGTCATTGTGTTTTGCCTGCACAGTAAAAAAATTAGAAAAATGTATTTAAAATGTTATGCAAACCAGACTTTATTATCCTGATCTAATACAGACAGTTATACAACTTAGTTAGTTTGCTTGACCACAGAAGATTTGTAAATGTCTTTTGAGTATATAAATACAGTGGGGGATGTTTACGAAGACTGGTGAGTGCAAAATCGGGTGCAAAGAATCCAGTCTGCTTCCAGGCTTTATTGTCAAAGCTTAATTGAACAAGCTGGAGTTAGAAGCTGATTGGCTACCATGCACAGCTGCACTAGATTCTGAGTGCTCCAGTTTTAATAAATCTTCCCGACTATATCAATGTATTTGTATATTCTGATAACAACTGGGGCAGAAAAACTGCATTTAGTATTTGCCAAAGAAACTAGGTAATCTTTACTTGTAAATTCACAAGGTACCTGTCTGGATGCCTTTTTTGTAGTTCTTTTCCTATAGAGAGCTACAAAAGTACCTGTGATACTAATTGCTATACACAGGGTATACAGGTATGTAATCGATGACTTCTTTGATGGGTTACACCCTAAACCATTGCACCCAAAATTATCCTGGCATCGAGGAACCGTGTGTGTGTGTGTGTGTGTGTGTGTGTTTTAAACTTATCCACTATTTATTGTGCCTTCACATGGAGATTCTTAAAACATCCCTGGGAATCGCCTGACTTCAGCTTCTCTCTCTGCTTAGACACCTTCCCCACAAATCCCACCATGGCTTTTACAGGCCAATTGCATCTGTAGTCTCTATTTTACAGTTGGATGACTCCTAACCCCAACAATGCTTTAGATCAGGAGTCTCCAAACTTTCTAGACAAAGGGCCAGTTTACTGTACTTCAGATTCTAGGAAGGGCCGGACTGTGGCCATTGGGAGTAGAAAAGGTCTCCATTTCAGTGGGGGGAAAAAACAATGCCCCATCATTGGGAGGAATTGGGCCCCATTGTTGGTGTCATTGGGAACAATTGGGCTCCATTGTTGTGTCATTGGGAGGCATTGTGTCCCATCATTGGTGTGAGTGGAGGGAAGTATGCCCCATTGTTGGTATCAGTGGATGAAATCGTGCCCCAAGGGTCGGCTAACGACAAGCAAAGGGCCACATCTGGCCCTCTGGCCACAGATTGTAGACCACTGCTTTAGATGGTTCAGACCTAAATCTCACACACACACACTTTCATAGCTATCAGAACACTCCAGGCCACACTTGGGTATCCATAAATATACAGTACATACGGTGCACAGCATAAATGAGTACACCCCCAACAGATTTGTCAGAAAACCCTTTCATAATCAACATTTTCTTTGGGACACTATACTACAATGCCTATAAATGCGGCGCCCATTGATTGCAAACAAGATTTGTTAATTTGCGCACACAAAGTATTTTTTCTAACTGAAAATTTTGTCTTACAATGTCCAGGGACTTTGTTCCCCTTGGAACAGAAATGGGGTCACTTTTGGCAGGAACTGCGCCACTTGTCTCTGGATATTTTATTTCTACAAGAGACGCACTTCACTGCTAGTTCCATTCCCTGCCTTCCCCTCCACTCTCTTGACCAGTGGTATCAGTGTCTTCCCCATTTCTAAAGCAAGAGGGGTATCTATTGCAATTCGAAAATCCTGCCCCTTCTCCCTACATTCTGTGCTGACAGATCCGGAGGGCTGCTTTCTCTTTCTCAAAGGCTTGATCCATGACCACAAATATACTTTTGCCACTATTTATGCCCCAAAACTCCTGTACTGTCAATTTCCTTTCTGCCACCATTAGGCAGTTGACTTTCAAAGAAGGTATACTTTATGTTGGGGGGTGATTTTTAATATTGCCATGGACCCCAATCTGGACACCTCCTCTGGTAAGATTTCTCTTTTCTTCCGAGTGCTCAAACATGTCAAAAAGTTAATGCAAGACTTGCACCTGGTGGACGGTTGGAGCATATCGCATACTCGCGGCAAGGGCTATTGTTTATTATTCAAAGACATTTGACAGATATACTCTCGCCTTGATCTTTTTTTTTAAACCAATTTTATCTGAGTAATGTTATTTCTTCCTCCATAGCAGGGGTCTCCAAACGTTTCAAACAAAGGGCCGCTTTTACTGTTCTGAGTTTAGGGGCGCCGGATTGTAGCCAGTGGGGGTAGAAAATGTCTTTGGGCCCAGCATCAGTGAGAATATATTATGGCCTCAGGGTTTGGGGTCAGTAGGAGGAGTAGTGCCTCATCATTGGTATTAGTAGGAGAAATAGTACCCCATCATTGGCACTGTATCAGTGGAAGAAAAATGGTGCACCATTGTTTGTGTCAATGAGAGGAATGGTGCTTCAAATCATTGGAAGGAAGAATGTTCCAAGGGCTGGATAAGGGCTAGCAAAGGGCCAAATCTGGCCCTCGGACCACAGTTTGGAGACCCCTGCTTCATAGAATCCATTACAATCTTGGACCATTGCCCAGTGATGATTTCCTTTTGTCCCCCGACTATGAAGACTTAATAAAATTTAATTTTTAATATTTTGTTGAGAATCCTTTACTGGCAATTACTGCCTGAAGTCTGGAACCCATGGACATTACCAAAAACTAGGTTTCCTCCTTTCTGATGCTTTGCCAGGCTCTAACTGCAGCTGTCTTCAGTTCTTTGTGGGTCTTTCTGCCTTTTTTTTTAGTTTTACCTTCAGCAAGTGAAATGCGTTCTCAATTGGGTTGAGATCAGGTGATTGACTTGGCCATTGCAGAATACTCCCCTTCTTTTCCTTCAAAAGCTCCTGGGTTGGTTTTGCAATGTGTTTTTGGATCATTGTCCATCTGTTCTGTGAAGCACCATCCTATCAACTTTGTTGCATTTGGCTGAATCTGGGCTGACCGTATATCTCTAAACACTGCAGAATTAATCCGGCTGCTTTTGTCACATCAATAAACACCAATGACCCAATGCCACTGGAAGCTATGCATGCCCATGCCATCACACTGCATCCACCATGTTTTACAGATGACGTTGTGCGCTTTGGATCATGAGCAGTTCCAAGCCTTCTCCACACTTCCCTTTTTTTTTTTTTTTTTTTTTTTTTTTTTTTTCTTCTTATTCTGGCACAGTTTAATCTTAGTTTCATCCGTCCAAAAGAATGCTTTTCCAGAACTGGTCAGGCTTTTTTAGATGTTTTTTGGCAAAGTCTAATCTGGCTTTTATAGTCTTCAGGCTTATAAATGGTTTGCACTTTGTGGTGAACCCTCTGTATTTGCTCTCATGAAGTTTTCTCTTGATTGTAGACTTTGGCAATCATACGCCCACCTCCTGGAGAGTGTCCTTCACTTGTCTGGATGTTGTGAATGGGTTTTTATTTACCATAGAGAGAGGATCCTGCGATCATCCACCACTGTTGTCTTTCGTGGACGTCCATGCCTTTTTTTTTTTTTTGTTTTTTTTTTTTTTTTTAATTTGGCTGAGCTCACCAGTGTGTTCTTTCCCCAGAATGTAGCAAACTGTTGATTTGGCCACTCCTAATGTTGCTGCTATCTCTCTGATGGATTTGTTTGGTTTTTGAAGCCTTACAATGGCCTGTTTTACTTGGATGGACAGCTCCTTTAAACGCATGATGTAGGTTCACAGCTATATATTCCAAATGCAAATACCACACTTAGAATCAACTCCAGACCTTTTACCTGCTTAATTGATAAAATAACGAAGGAGTAGCCCACACCTGGCCATGAAACCACTTTTGATTCAATTGTCCAATTACTTTTGGTCCCTTGAAAAATACTCCTAAAGAGCTGTAATTCCTAAACCCTTCCTCCACTTTAGATGTACATACCCTCCAAATGAAATGAGTGTGCACGTTCAGCCCATATCCATTTTATATACCTATAGCTTGATTATGTTTTGGTAAATACCTGGAAAAAAAACTAAAATTGTGCCTGTGTCCAAATAATATATGGAACGAACTGTATTGGAATTTTGTTTAGCATGTCAAAAGGGATAAAAGTTCAAGCTATTGTATATTTAACCACTAGCCTACAGGGCACTTATTCCCCCTTCCTGCCCAGGCCAATTTCCAGCTTTCAGACCGAGCTTTATTTTGGTGGTATTTAATCAATTCTGGGTTTTTTATTTTTTCTTAAACCAAAAACCACTGAAATTTTTGAAAAGTTTCTTAGTTTTTGTTAACATTTAGTTAAGTGATTTCTCCTTCACTGATGTGCGCTAATGAGGCTGCACTGATGGGTGGCACTGATGAGGCACTGGTAGGTGGCACTGATGAGGCACTGGTAGGCGGCACTGATGGGCACTGAAAGGCGGCACTGATGGGCACTGAAAGGCAGCACTGACTGGCACTGTTAGGTGGCACTGATGGGCGGCATTGATGGGTGGGGTGGCACTAAAAGGCTGCTCAGATGGGCACTGATATGTGGCATTGTGCACTGGTAGGCACTGATATGTGGCATTGATGAGCACTGACAGCTGGCACTGATGGACACTGACAGGTGGCACTGCTGGGGCTACACTGATCATCAGGGCATACTGATCATCCGTGCCCTGATGATCAGTGTACATGTCCCCTCTGAGGAATGCTGATTACCAGCTCTCCTCACGAGCTGCCAGCGTGACAGCTCGTGATGAGAGAAATGCCGATAACTGGCATTTCCCTGTATACATGCGATCGGCTGTGATTGGACACAGCTGATCGCATGACCAAGCCGACATCTTCGGCTCTTTCCGTGGATCGGTGATCCGCTGTGTCCGAGGGACACAGCGCACCGCCGATCACTGCGCTGCGCGCTCTCGGAGCCACACATGCGCGGTGAGAATGGGAAGACGTCATATGACGTCCTCCCAGAAAGAGAGAACTGCCTTGTGTCCGTCATTGGACTATATGGCGGGTGGGAGGTGGTTAAAATAAATAAATAAATAAACTTGTGAGCTCAGGCTGTGATGTAATTTTAACAGCTCAATGCTTTTGCATGAATATTTGCTTCACACTAAGATTATTGAATTTTGACTATCCTGGTGGAGTACTGACATGAATTACACCCACACTCTCGTGCACTGCTTGGACTCCAGCAGGCTACTTCTAAGGGTAGATTTTCAAGACTGCAAACAGAAGGCATAGGAGTGAAAGGAGTGCAGTGTGAACACCTTTTCACACACCATGAACACTGAATGCATCAGGTGACAGCTGTTCACCCTTGCCCATCTGTAACAACTGTCCACCTGTGATTGGCTAAAGCAACACTCCAGAACCAACTCTAGCAAGGACCTGGAATGTACGGTATAGGCAAATCCTGACTAAAATGACAGTAACCATTCTCTTACAGGGTCATTATTGGATTGAACTGCATAATATCTGAACTTCATGTTCTTTGTCCGGTTTAAAATATTATTGACTTTATCTTTCTCTCAAACAGCAGACATTCAGAATACAGTCTCCTATATTGTTTCCACTGAATGCTTTGCTTTGTCAAGTCCTCCAATAATCATTCTAATTGGTTCATAAAATGTAAATAATTGTGAAACCACATAAAGCAAAAAAGAGGGCCTTCACAAATGGAGAAAAAGTGGTTACTTGTAATGACTAGAATAGTGACTAGATTTGTAGAAAAAAAAGTATCTTTATTGAAATATATATTCTTGTATCAAAAAATATAAATTTAGTTAAAATATGCTGTGAAGTGCCAGCAGCATTGAATGAAAACATTAACTAGTGTTGTCTAAGCACATACTTTAAACCAAACAGATAAACAAGACAGACCGGAAAAAGTATCAAACGTCGGAATGCCCAAATTTAAACCTAGAAAGAATAACACCACTGCAAAAACTGCATGTTAATTAATCGTGGTAACATCTCCTATGCATGGATATTTTGGGAGAATTCAGTAATAACCACCACACTAGCAATGGACCATGGTCCCAACAATTCTAAATGGAAAAAGTTCCATAAATGAATTGGGAGAGTCCATCACTGGGTACATGAATGAGGAAGAGCTAAAAAATATTTGGTTACAAAGTAGTCAAATCTGTTAATGGAAATAACAAAACAAAGTAGTTAGTTCCTCCGTGTAAAAGACGGCTCATCCCCAAGAATTGGGCTGCGGAGATATCCTGTAATTGAAGATGCATAGTCTTTTTGGGAGTGAGAGTGGTGAAACATAACGACATATAGAAGTCTGAAGCTTGTTTGACAAGTAGTAGTGCGCAAAGCAGGAGCGATTTAGCATGTATAACAAGCAAGTAAATGGGTCACTCCATTGCAATGGTAAAGCGCAGCAAGCGTTGTTGGCAAGCTAAAAACAATGTCATTGCAGACAGCAAAATCAGTTGTTGTCCGTTAAAGTGTTACTAAACCCACAACAGTAAAATCGGTCTGTATTTGCAGTAAAGCATACTTGTTGTTATACTCGCTGTGTTAATCCCCTGCATTGTGTAAAAACACTGTTTGACCTTGACTTCTCTGATCCTCCCCTTCTTCCAGTGTCCCCCTCTTTATTTCCTGATAAGACATAGTGTGTGGAGTTGTTGTTGCACATGCTCAGTTTGGTGTATATTGCTAGAGAGGTTGGTTTTTTTGTGGTGGGTTTTTTTTTTTTTTTTGGAGAGTGCATGTAATCAGCACTCTCCAGACAGAGGTCAGGGGTCCTGCATCCTCCTACAGCAAAATGAAAATTTTCTCCTCCAAGCTTTAACCAGTGCTTAGCTGGACACTGATGGTAGTCACAAGACTGCTCTGATTGCTGATGAGAAAAGGTATTTAACAGTTTATATTTACTACAATAATTGCACTTTTATCTTCAGTGTACTGTGGGAAACCAGATATAGAGAATGCAGGGTCCTGGGTTTAGTAACCCCTTAAGGCAGATGTAAATATTATCACAATTGTAATTGCTATATAAAGCTTGCATAAGGTCAAGGGTGTCAAGCAGTGTGTTCACTGGCAGCTGTTTGTATATGTCACTTGTTAAAGCAAGACTGCATACTTTACCACCATCTGGAACCGCTATGGATCAAGGTTGATGTGTATGGTCTCATGACCACCATGTAGGGTTAGGCGGGAGCTAAACTGTTTGAACCAGGTTCCCTTTTTTTTCTGCATTTTATCTGCCTCCTTATAAGTGTTTTTTTTTTTTTTTTTCTTCTGTTGTGATTAGGATGGTTTCTCTTCACTTTGGGCCAAAGAGCAAGAATTGGTGGTTTGAAAGATGCTTGGTTTGTTGTTGATAAAGATGTGTCTAGTGCAGAAGTTTTTGTGGTAAGTGATTTTTGTTTTTTTTTTGTTACACCCATGCTCAAAATACTTGTACAAAGCAGTCCCTGGGTTGTTTTCAAAGTAGATCATTATTGAGAGTGTTTATCCACTTTGCATGGTCAGGTGGAGATGAAGAAATTCATCCCTGCACTTTGTTTACAAGCTAGTAACAGTGCTCTGTGAATGTTTTTGTACCTTGGGTGGCAGCCCCTCATTTTCCAATGACAAGACATCATTTTAGGATCTAGTGTAAAATGAATATATAATACATTGTGCGTAATACACTATTCTAATAATGAAAAGGCTCGATGCACCACCACAATATGCATATTCGGTCCCCCTGGGCCTGCCCACATCTAGTATACGCAGTTAGGTCTACATCTATAGGAGTGCAAATGTTGAGAGGTGCAGTATGGCCTGTGCAATATAAAAAGTTGGTTTAGTTTTTGAGACCTTTGATGAGGACTCATTGGGTGGGGATTCTAGTATGTGTCCTTTTTGATCAGTTAGTGTGCCCAGGTCTTCCTTCCATTTTGTTCTGCAGGATGGCTTTCTAAGTATATTCAAAAAGTGATTTCTAAAGGGTTTTTTAAAAATATTTAAACAAGTCATACTTGCCTGCTCTGTGCAGTGATTTTGCACTGAGCAGCCCTGATCCTCCTCCTTCTGAGGTCATCCACCAGTGTACCACTTTTTCTGCTATCCAGCTCCTTATGCAGCTGAGAACAAAGTATGTGATCTTTTCATTTTTTTTTGCCTTACATTTCCATTTTAAACTGATTTGGGTTGTTTTTACAAGGTGAGGGTTTAAATTCGATAGATCACCCTAATTTTGTTTTCTTTTTTTTTTTCTTTCTTTCTGAATCAGTCAGTAAAGCCTGAGATAAATGAGCTTTATTTTCTCTTTATTTTCCTGTAAAGGCTCCATGTACAGATCACCCAGCTTTGTACAGAGACCTCCTTCGAACTGATAGAGTTCATTGGATCTGTGAAGACCCTCCTGCAGAGTTGGTGAGGAACAAAATGATTTCATGTCACTTCAGATTTCAACACCAGATGGCGCTAGGTGAGTTCTAATACCAACAGTGTACTTTATTCTCCGGGAGCAGATAAAAGTAGTAGCTTAGGACTTGCATGAATATTTTGTCCAATGTGCACAGAAATCAAAGTTGTGCACGATGTACACTTGGTAACCCTTTTTTAAATGGTAATTTTTCCCCAAAATCAATGTGATTATAAAAGTGGTTTGTGCTGTGTCGAGTGTGATAAAAGCTTTGATATTACGAACATTGCCATCATGTAAGGAAGTAATTTCTGTGTTGCAATGCACTAAATTGCATATTTAATGGTAAGTTAATTCCAAATCTGCTATCTAGTATATTTTTACGGTGTGCCTTTTCTGTATACAGTTTTCTTAAGCAAATTGTATTTTGTGAATTTGTTGCAGCTTTTTAGCTTTTTCCTTACTACCAATAATGGCACTTCTGCTGACAGTGCCTGTCCAATAGTACCAGTGATGTTGGCTAGTTATTTGCTTAACCCATTTGCTGCAGGAGCCTTCTTCTTCTTCTTCTTCTTTTTCTTTTTCTTTTTTCTTTTCTTTTTCTTTTTTTCTTTTTTTCTTTTTCTTCTTTTTCTTTTTTTCTTCTTCTTCTTCTTTTTCTTCTTTTTCTTCTTTTTTTTCTTCTTTTTTTTCTTTTTCTTTTTCTTTTTCTTCTTCTTTTTCTTCTTCTTCTTTTTTTCTTCTTTTTCTTCTTCTTCTTCTGACATGCCCCCTATGTGATACTTTGGGTAGGTGACACGTTCTCTTTAATGAGACCTCATGGGTCTATTAGACCCCTAGTCTCGGCCCTACCCCAGTCAGAGCCACTGAGGTTTGACAGCTCTAAATCCAGGAGCGTTCAGAGGTGAGCACTTCTGGGTTCACTCCACAGAGGAGAGGTTGGTGACTATTTTTCAACAATTCTGCTCTGCTGGCCATCCAAGTAATTTCCACTGGTTCTGGGCTCCCAGAAGCTGCAGGAGAGCCCTTGCCATCACAAGGTAGATTCTCTCCCACACACCACACACCACACACACACACACACACACACACACACACTTTTAAAGGAACACTTTGAAAACATCAGATCTCAATGGGGAAAAATATCATGCTGGATATATTTACTGATATGAACTGGGTTTTGTGTTAGGAACGTGAGGATTCTCCATCGTTTGAATTCAGTCCTCCCCTTTTTTTTTTTTTCCCCCCCTTTCTGAAATTTCATTGCAGCAACTCAGAATGGTGCTGAGTAGTTTGTATGGCCCCCACGTGCTTGTATGCATGTCTGACAACATCGGGGGCATGCTCCCTAATGAGATGGATGGTGTCCTGGGATATTTCCTCCCAGATCTGGACCATTGCATCCCAGACTTTCCAGGAGCTCAGTGATGCCACCTGGAGTCATCAGATGGACTGAAACATGATATCCCAGAGGGGTCAGTCTATGGTATCCATGCCTTCCTCTTCCAGGAACTGCCTGCATACTCTCGCCATGAGGCTGGGCATTGTCGTGCACCAGGAGGAACCCAGGGCCCACTGCACCCGCGTAGGGGCTGACAGTGGGTCCAAGGATTTCATCCCAATACCTAATGGCAGTCAGGGTGCCATTGTCTACCCTGTAGAGGTCTGTGTGCGTCCATGTCTACCCTGTAAGGTCTGTGTGCGTCCATCCATGGATATGCCTTCCCAGACCATCACTGACCCACCATCAAAACAGTCATGGTGAACGATGTTACAGGCAACATAACGTTCTCCACTGCTTCTCCAGACCATTTCACGTCTGTCACATGTGCTCAGGGTGAACCTGCTCTTATCTGTGAAAAGCACAGGGTGCCAGTGGCAGACCTGCCAATCAAGCTCTATGGTGCCGGGCAGTGAACACAGGGCATACTGGAGGACGTCGGGCCGCCCTCAGGAAGCCTATTCCTGATTGGTCAGAGACATTCACACCAGTGGCCTGCTGAAGATCAGTTTGTAGGGCTCTGGCAGTGCTCATCCTGTTCTTCCTTGTACATAAGGGGGAGATACCGGTCCTGCTGATGGGTTAAGGACCTTCTATGGTCCTGTCCAGCTCTCCTAGAGTAACTGCCGGTCTCCTGGAATCTCCTCCGTGCTCTTGAGACTGCTGTGAAACACCGCAAACCTTCTGGCAATGGCATGTATTGATGTGCCATCTTGGAAGAGTTGGACTGCCTGTGCAACCTCTGTAGGGTCCAGGTATCGCCTCATGCTACCAATAGTGACAGTGACCCTAGCCAAATGCAGAACGAATGACTGAAAAACAGTTAGAAAATTTGAGTAGGGGGAAAAGAGTGGCCTCCACCTGTAAAACCATTCCTGTTTTGGGGATTGTCTGATTGTTGCCCATCTAGTGCACCTGGTGTTAATTTTGTGTGTGTGGGGGGGGGGGGGGGGACACCCCTCCAAATCATTTGGATTCAGGTTTATAAAGTTAGGCACCGAGACATGCAGACTGCTTCTACAAACATTTTGTGAAAGAATGGGTCGCTCTCAGGAGCTCAGTGAATTCAAGTGTGTTATTGTGATAGGTTGCCACTTGTGCAGTAAGTCCACCCGTGAAATTTCCTAGCTACTAAAAATCCCATGGCCAGCTGTTTAATGGTATTCTAACAATGTGGAAGAAACTTGGAACAGCAGCAACTTGGCTATGAAGTTGTAGGCCATGTGAAATGACAGAGCAGGGTCAGCGTATGCTGTAGTGCACAGTGCTCAGAAGTCGCCAACTGTCTGCAGAGTCAATAGCTAAAGACCTCCAAACTTTGTCTGGCCTTCAGAATAGCACAACTGTAGTGCATAGAGAGCTTCATGGAATGGGTTTCCATTGCCGAGCAGCTGCATCCAGGCCTTACATCACCAAGTATAATGCAAAGCGGCGGATGCAGTGGTGTAAAGCATGCCGCCACTGGACTCTAGAGCAGTGGAAATGAGTTCTCTAGAGTGATGAATTGTGCTTCTCTGTCTGGCAATCTGATGGATGTGTCTGGGTTTGGCGGTTGCCAGGAGAATGGTACTTGCCTGACTGCATTGTGTAAAGTTTGGAGGGGGGATTATGGTGTGGGGTTTTTTTTTTTTTTTTTTTTTTTTTTTCAGGGGTTGGGCCTGGCAAGTCAGTTCCAGTGAAGGAAACGCTTAAGGTGTCAGCATACCAAGACAGTTTGGGCAATTTCATGCTCCCAGCTTTGTGGGAACAGTTTGGGGATGGCCCCTTCCTGTTTCAACATGACTGCAAACCAAAGCAAGGTCCATAAAGACATGGATGAGCGAGTTTGTGGTGGAGGAACTTGACTGGCCTGCACAGAGTCCTGACCTCAACCTGATAGAACACCTTAGGGATGAATTAGAGTGGAGACTGTGAGCCAGGCCTTCTCAACCGACATCAGTGCCTGACCTCACAAATGCACTACTGGAAGAATGGTTAAACATTCCCATAGACACAATCCTAAACATTGTGGACAGCCTTCCCAGAAGAGTTATAGCTGCAAAGGGTGGGCCAACTCAATATTGAACCCTACGAACTAAGGCTGGGATGCCTAGTTTATGGTTCTTTTTCTGGGTGCCTGACTTGCAGCATGCATTTGGGAATCATGGATATGTGATTCAAAAAAACACACCAAAAATGTAACTGCTCTGTGGGTGTTTTTTTTTTTTTTATTGTTTTTGCCACATTTCTCATTCATTTCAATGGGCAGCTATGTGTTTTGGTGCAATTTTGAAAACCATACCAAAGATGTACCATGCAGGACTTGGAGGGATACACAGGATTTAAAGGAATTTGTATTTTTGCTGCATTTTTTACCAAGGTAAAAAAATGCATCCGGGTGAAAGCCGCCTTCGAATTCAAAAAACCTTAGATCATTTCTAACAATTTGTTGCCATAAAAAGGTGTAGTTCGCCTTGGTACCAGGTCTTGTTTGCTCCTATAGCTGTGTGCTTACTTTTTATGTATGGTCTGAATAAATTTATTTAAAATTTTGGTTAAGTATGTGCAGAAATATTTCCTTTTTTGGTTTTTGTTAAACAAGTTTTATCTGTCCCTGGACATAAGTTGGTGATCAGGCCAAATAAACCTAACTTGTGCATGAAAGACTTGTAAAGGGCACTTACTCCATCCAGTAAAGCTGGAACTTAACTCTTCAATGATAATATGAACACTAGACTATCCGCTAAATTTCTTTTGTATCCATCCTACCTGACGTAGGTACCCTGTACATACATTTTATTTATAGCTCTTTGTGAAGAGTCATTTTGTTTCTGAACTTGTTGAAATCACAGTCCAATGTGCATGTAATAGGCATACCTATTCTATCTACCAATTATTCCTGTCACAGGAGATCCTGTGTAAATTTGTTTGACATGTCTGTGTTATTTTAGAAGCATTTAGAAAGTGTGTACAGCACTCTATAGGACCTCCTTCCTTCCTTTTTTTTTTTTTTTTTTTTATTTTTTCTTAATTCCATATAATGTAGCAAGAGCGCTCTGTAATCCCCAAGAAATGCACTGCTTGTCACATCTTGTTGGAATTATGTCTGACTATTTTCTTTCCAATGGTTACATTGTTCAGATCTGGAGAAGTATAATTGCCATGGGCATGATAATGAATTTAAGGCATAATTTACATTTTAAGCGGAGGTGGAAACTGCTTGGCATTTGGTTTAACACTAGCCTTCACACAAGTAACCGATCAAAATGTTTAAATATGCTCCAAACGGTGCTTTCATTAGGAATGTGAATAGAAATCGTACATTAGAGAAATATAGTAGCTATTACTTCAGATGAGAAGACAATTATGGCTGTTAGGATTGCCCAATGCTGTGTTAATGTAAGGATCTGAGTCACTAATGCAGAAAAAGTATGCTTGTTCTGCCTTCACTGGCTGCATACTTATTCCAGGCAAAGGGGGGGATTAAGGTAGAATGGGGTCCTAGCTGGAGTAGGAACTTTGCCCACTTTTTTTGAGTCACAGTGATAAGGATTGCAGGAGACACGAGATGCTGTGTCATTTGTATGGTCTGTACTGGAATAGCCCCATTAGACACCAACTGCCTACAAGTGCAGGTAGGTTCACAACTTTGACCAATTTCGTTATCCCCGTGGCTTACTGCAGGAGCATGAATATTGTACCTGGGACCCTGGACATCTATGGGTTGGCTTGTGGACAATCTGGCTCAAAGTTGGTGATTCAGAAAGTATTGGCACCAGGCAACTAGCATTTTCAGCAGTTAGGAATGCATATTTCTCTCATGACACATTTCCTTTAGTTTTAGCTGTAAAATACTTGCTTTTCTTGAAGAAAGTGGTATTTTTTTCCCTCCATCAAGTAGCTGGTTACGTGATCATTGCATAGTCCGGTATGTAAAATTCAGTCGCCTACAGTGGATATAAAAAGTCTACACACCCCTGTTAAAATGTCAGGTTTTTGTGATGTAAAAAAATGCCACAAAGATATAAATAAATTCAGAATTTTTTCACCTTTATTGTGACCTATAAACTGTACAACTCAATTGAACAACAAACAGAAATCTTTTAGGTGGAGGGAAGTAAAAATAAAAAAAAAATAAAATATGGTTGCATAAGTGTGCACACCCTTAAACTAATACTTTGTTGAAGCACCTTTTTGATTTTATTCAGCACTCAGTCATTTTGGGTATGAGTCTATCAGCATGGCACATCTTGACTTGGGAATATTTGCCCACTCTTCCTCGCAAAAACACTCCAAATCTGTCAGATTGCGAGGGCATCTCCTGTGCACAGCCCTCTTCAGATCACCCCACAGATTTTTGATCAGATTCCGGTCTGGGCTGTGGCTGGGTCATTCCAAAACTTTAATCTTCTTCTGGTGAAGCCATTCCTTTGTTGATTTGGATGTATGCTTTGGGTCGTTGTCATGCTGAAAGATGAAGTTCCTTCTTCATGTTCTGCTTTCTAGCAGAAGCCTGAAGGTTTTGTGCCAATATTGACTGGTATTTGAAACTGTTCATAATTCCCTCTTTCTTGACTAAGGCCCCAGTTCCAGCTGAGGAAAAACCGCCCCAAAGCATGCTGCTGCCACCACCATGCTTCACTGTGTGTATGGTGTTCTTTTGGTGATGTGCAGTGTTTGTTTTTTTGCACCAAATATATCTTTGGGAATTATGGTCTGATGAAACCAAGGTTTAACTCTTTGGCCTAACACATTTTCCCACATGCTTTTGGGAGACTTCAGATGTGTTTTTGCTGGACTTGGGTGTTTTTCTTCGTAAGTAAAGGCTTCTGTCTTTCTACTCTACCCCATAGCCCAGACATATGAAGAATACGGGAGATTGTTGTCACATGTACCACACAGCCAGTATTTGCCAGGTATTCCTGCAGATCCTTTAATGTTGATGTAGGGCTCTTGGCAGCCTCCCAGACCAGTTTTTTCTTGTCTTTTCATAAATTTTGGAGGGATGTCCAGTTCTTGGTAATGCCACTGTTGTGCCATATTTTCTCCACTTGATGACTGTCTTCACTGTGTTCCATGGTATATTTAATGCCTTTTGGAAATTCTTTTGTCACCTTCTCCTGACACCTTTTTAACAATGAGATCCCTCTGATGCTTTGGAAGTTCTCTACGGACCATGGCTTTTGCTGTAGGATGAGACTAAGAAAATGTCAGGAAGACCTACTAGAACAGCTGAACTTTACTTGGGGTTAATCGCAGGCACTTTAAATGATGGCAGGTGTGTACTGACTCCTGCCACTTATGCAACCACCCAAAATTATTTGTCTCTTATTTTATTTATTTTTTACATCACAGAAATCTGACATTTTAACAGGGGTGTTTGTAGACTTCTTTTTATATTCACTGTATAGTAACCAATCAAAGTTTAAAGTAATTTTGGGATGTATTCTACTCTGTTGCTGTAGGTCGCTGCACTTTAACTGATCTCTTTATTAAATGAGGTGGGAAAAGAAGAATTGCTAAATTGGAACTAAAGGACAAAATATGCGAACAGGCAATTTTATTGCAGAAGTGATATGCAAGGTCTCCTGCAAAAAAAAAAAAAAAACCTGCCTATTCGTAATCTGCAGAATATCCACTGAGCTGTGCAGGTTTAATGACTCCCCACCAGCCAATCAAGACTGCCAAAGAGCGGCACCTGGAGTAAGCTGAGGAGAAGATGATGCCGGTGAGGGCCCTTGTGGGCATTAGACCATTGTCAGCCCGCTTGGCAACATTACACCCTAAATAATGGGTGTTACATGGTCTTAAAGTTTCAAAATGAAAATTTTATGGTACTAAAGTGTGGAAAAAAATGGGGACAAATAGATTGCAAAATATTTATCCCACCTTGAGGGAAACGTCCTTCTCAGCTTCCCTCATTTAGAAACAAATAACAGTTTCTGATTTTGGTTGATAAACATTTTGTGCCGCTAAAGCGGTAGACAATTTGGTGGAATTATGTGAAATATTTAACAAAGTTGTAAAAACAAATGTTTTCTTATTCTGTAACACACATTTTTCTATGTTTCAGAACCTTGTGTATTAACACTAAACCAGGATGGCACAGTTTGGGTATCCTTAGAAAAGCGATTAAGAGCCCTGACACCAGGCCAGGTGAGTACAGACGTCTGCACTAAGATGCAGGTAAAAATGTAGGCATCCTCTGCAATAGGAATGACATTTTGGTGGGATGCTACGTAAGGGTTGCAGACAGTGCAGCTTTGCTCATTAGAACTCTGCAAGTACATCAGCTGCTTATATTGAACAAAAACACTTCCACTCAGGAATCAGTATTTCAAGGACATAGTGGAACATAACCGCTTTTTCGTAAGAAGTGAGTGGGACTCTAATACAAAGTTAGCTAAAATTCTTGCAACTTGGATCACCCAGAGGTGTGTGGGTTGTTTTTTTTTTTTTTTTTTTTTTTTTTTTTTTTTTTTTTTTCCTAGTAATGGCAGCAATTGGCAAATGTTATAGTGGGACTGCAGCGGCGGGCATACTGACACTGGGGAAAACTGACTTGGTGTCACTGACATCCCCAGTGACACCAGTACAGTGATCAGTGCTAAAAAAAAGCACTGACAATGTACTAATGGCACTGGGCATGAAGGGGTTAACGTGGGCGATCAAAGGGTTAGCTGTGTGCAGTTTCTACAATATGTTGCTGTGTGTTTGTGCTTCACTGTAAGCACACTGCTTTGCATGGCTGCATGACATGCGAAGCAGTGTGCCGGAGCTGACGGGACTCGGTGATAGCTGCGGCCACGAATGGCACCCCCTACCCGGAAATGCAAAATCATGTGTGTGTATACACGTGATTTTTGCGCACAGCTGCCGCCCTGTAGCAATATTTCTGCTATGGGGCGGAGCTGAACCAGTTGAGGTATAATTCGGGTGTTTTTTTTATTAGATATTTGTATAGCGTGTTGTGTGTGTGTGTGTGTGTGTGTGTGTGTGTGTGTGTACTAGCGCTTTACATGCATTGTATACTTGTCCTTTACTCCATTGATACTTTTTTGTTTTAAAAGCTATGTTTTGTAATCCTTTATCAAGGGACATCACATCAGTAGAATCAGGAATACTGGATTACATTGCTGCCTTTTGAGGAATTGGACACTGGTAATCCAAAAAGGCCAATAGCCAGCCATGTAGAACACCACCTACTCCCATGATGCTCCAGTTTTTTTTCTGGTATCATAGGAGGATTGATATCACCCCTTTAGCAAGGAGGCCATTCCTGATCATCTGTATGCTCTCTCAATAGGCCAGTTTACCACCCTGCTTTTCATAGATCTTCTTTTGAACCTATCAGAGAGATCCTTTTTATCTGCTGTAACTCGTAAGGTTGCGATTACCTCTGCTAGGTGCGTAATCTGAGTGGGCAGCTTTGTCTTGCAAAGAACATTTACTTATCCTTGACAAAGTTACACTTGTTTTGAGACCCAGAACCTCCTTTTCTTCCTAGAGTGGTCTCTACTTGCCACAATCTGTCTTCGGCGTGCAAGTGTGGTCCTAAGGGACTCTCCACTCTTCTAGTTAATGATTGCATTGCTCTCACACTTTTGCAGCCCTCCTGGGACTATGGATATCCCCTCATATGCAGCACTAGAGAACAAAGCCTAGCGCATTACCATAATACATTGTTGAATAAAAAACGTTCTTATACTCCCAAACACTACTTCTTCTGACGCTGAACATGATGGGTTTTCCCTTTTGAAATGCATAAACCTTATCAGATGCAAAAGGGGTCTTCCAAGATGGTCTAATTTTTTTTTTTTTTTTTTTTCCCTTCCCCATCACATATAGCGGCTGCCAGCACTATATGAACTGTATGTAGCTGAGGCTTCAGCCAATAAAAGTCACGCTGCTCGGCCTTTAGCAGGAAGCTTTGCCTTTTATGAATGCATACAAGATTTCTGAGGCAAAGCTAGTGATGACATCCACCTGCTTCTCTGCCACAGCCAATCAACAGAAACCTTTGTATTCATTCCAAAATTACAAAGTTTTCCTGTGATTGGCTGAACAGTGCTCTTCCGTACTCTGTTTTTATTAATATTATTTATTTTTTTTTTTTCAAGGGTTGTTGGTGTTGTGTTGAACTGCTTTGGGGGGGTCCCAGTGTTACTGATTCTATTGACCCTGCGTGCCTTGTTGGATGATTAGGCAAACAGGACTTTGAACACCAAGAAAAATATTTTTTCTTGAAAAGGACACTGGTGTGTAAATACCTGCTCTGCCTGTCCCTCACTCCCTCACTGTGGTTCCTTCCACTGGTTCATATGTCATTCCAGGATGTATGTGTTGATGGGAGGAATTGCAGTGAGCAATGAGGTGAGCAAGTATTCCTCCCATGCAGCCAATCAAATGCTTGCAGAGGACTGTGAATAGGTAACTGGTGACTTTTCAAGAAATGAGCCACTGGAAAGGTGTGCAGTCTTCTTTTAGTAGGTATGTTGTATATACAAGTGACCCTCTACTGACAGGCTCCCTTTTTAAAGAGACACTGATAACTTGCCCATGCAGATCAAAGTGGCAGTGTGTCTGCAAAGGGCATCCCCTGACCCCAATAACCACACCGTATTTGTGCTCCCTTGAAGCTGAGATCAGCTGTGTTGGTGATCTCACTCCTCCCCAGTATTGTTGGTGACCTCACTCCTCCGAAGTGTTGTAACAGTGCTCAGGCATAGTGACTGGCTGCAAGGCCCCAGCACTATTACAAGGGAGCAGGTCACATGCCCTCTCCTATACCTGGAAGTGCCACGTATGCTTGTGGTGCGTGTGTATAAAAGGTCTGGGATGCCCTTGTCAGGAACACTGTCACTTTGCTTTGCATGGGTATTTGTACATACATTGTCATGATTGGATGAACAAAAGAGGACCGCTCTGGCATCATTTCCTGTGTTGAAAGATAAGAAAAAATGTAGTGTGTGTGTATGGGGTTTTTTTCTTTTCTTCCCCCTCCTTATGGCTTTAGTTTATGGCAGTGGTGGTCAAGCTTTCTTGACACAGGGGGCTGCAAGTGCGGTCCCTTAAATCAAAAAAAGGGCCACACAGCACATGCATTGAATGTAATGCTGTAGAAAGCTCTCAGACATGCAACAGGAGACAATCGAAGTCTATGGGCATGCTAGAAGTGATGGTCAAACTACAAACATGCTATAAGAGGTGTTTGTGGGTGGTTTTTTTTTTTTTTTTTATTTTTTTTTGTTTTTTTTCCCTTCAGCCTGTATAAGCAGCTCTGTTAGCCTATTTGTCCATGCACATTTGGGCGTTTACGGGCATATATACAGTGTTTTCAAGCTGAGAAGCCCCAAAACATTGCAAGTATGTTTTTTTTTGAGAGGGCTTTTCAGACAAAAAAAACACCTGACGTGCATAAACGTGGTGTTTAGGAGCGTTCTGCATTTTTGTGTACATTGATTATAGTGAAAAATGGCATTCTGGCATCTTTTCAGCTGCCTAATGTGCATGGACCCTTAGAGACAACAATGTAGAAGAGTGCCAGATTTGTACAGGACTTTCACAATTTTAGGGGTTTGTTCAAATTATCATGAAGTCATCTTTCAGTATTTTAAAAGCTTTTGTTTACATTGCAAGTTTTCCATTTTATAACTCCTGTTTATGTTGCTTACGTGCCAGTTTGCGGTCTTCTACAAAGGGGAAGAATGCCTTGGAAGTGGGAAGATTCTGAGACTGGGACCTTCATTGTACACCTTACAACAGGGCCAAGAGATAATGAAATCTGCGGCAGCAAACGTGTCAACAGAGACTTTTAAAGATCTGGATCCACTAACCTGACTGCTGCAGTTTTCCCAGCTAATTGAAAGGGTTTAGTGAAATGTGAGCCAGAAAATGATGGCGGAACGAAAGCACACTGTCTCTAGCTTAATTAAGGGACAAGTTCTGACTGGCATCCTACCTCTGAGGCCTTTTTATAACAATTATCAATTGTTTTCTACAGACAATATGTGAATCTTTATTTTGAAGAGAATCACAAGGAATATTTTTACTACCCGTGTGTTTTGTTTTTTTTTTTTTTTTTACTTGAACAAACTGCAAAGGTCAGGGCATTTAGTGCAATAGAAATGTGATTTTACAATATTGACCATGTCTGTGTCTTACTGTGATTTTAATTTTATATATATATATATATATATATATATATATATATATATTATATATATATATATATATATATTTTTTTTTTTTTAGCATTCAGATTGTTTATTGATTAAAGGGGACTGTTTGCTGAACTTGGTAAACAAAATGAATCTGCATTCACTTAAATCAGCCAATTATGTGTTTTTGTTTTTTTTTTTTTATTTTAACCCAACAATATATTGGGTATTCAAGAGTGAAAGGAGGTTTGCAAAACGAATGATGGTAAATATAGTAAAATAAGGCAAACTCATGCCTTTACTACTTTTGGCAAATTAACCCCAATGTGTTTCACAGTATAAATACAGTGGGGGCAAGGGGGTTCACACACTCACAGTATCTGACAAGTCAGATGGAAGCGATCTGGTGGCTGGGCAAGTGCTTGATCGCTTCCAAACACCATTGGTAAAGGCTGCACACCCGCCCCTGCCATGTTTCTTAGGCTTTGCCCTTTGAGGATTCAAGGATCAGATGGACTGTAGGTCTGAGATGCTGTTGCATAGAGCCTGGGAGGCCAACGCAACTGCTATGGCCCCAGCCTTGGCATCTGCTTGCATCGCTAGGAATACTGATGCTTGGATGCATAGAGTAATTGATCATGTCTCTTGGGGTACCAAAAAAAGGGGGAAGCCCAGACAGATGACCTGTTAGTCTCCGGAAGTGGTCAGTAAGGCAGTCACCTACTTGGCTATCCTGACCATCTCTACCACAGAATCTGCTAAGATGGCACAGCTTATCAACTCCGCCTGGAGGGCGGTGTGGGTTCAGACCTGGGAGGGGGGCGATCAGACGTCAAGAGCCCAACTCTCCTGTCTGCCTTTTGTGGGTTTCTTGCTGTTTGTAACAGGGCTGGACCAGGTGCTATCAAGGTCTGCCGAAAAGGGGAAAAAATTCCCCGCCAAGGATAAGGCAAAGAAGTTTTTTTTTCAAGCCCCCCTTAATCATAGGCAGCAAAGACTTAGGAAGGTCTCTCCCAATAAATGGGCCAATAAGGGGAGACAGGGAGCTTCTTCCTTTTTTTTTTTTTTTTTTTTTTTTTTTTTTTTTTTTGTGTGTGCTGACTTATCCCCCCAGAGACGGAACAGAGGCAGAGGGGGGCTCTTGGGAGGGATTAGGGATTTTGCGGATCAGGAGGTAATTGTTCGCATGCCAACGGACCAGCTTTTTTGGAATTTTATTCCCACATCTTCGTGCTCCCAAAGCCTTCGGGAAAATTTTAGTTTGTTCAGCCTTCTTAGGTTTATGATCAGTTTTTCCTGCGGTAAAAGAAGGTTCCGTATGGAAAGAATCTACAGTTTTATAGAAACATCTGCTCAAAGGGGTCTTTTTATGGCCACTGTGTATCTCAGAGACACCTACTTTCACATTCCCATCGCCCCAGAATCCCAAGCCTTCTTACATTTTGCCATCTTCACGGAATAGGGGATCAGTTACTGGCAGTTCCAAGCCCTCCCTTTTTGGGCTAGTGGCCAGTCTGAGAACATTCACTAAGGTCTTGGCTGCCTGAAGGTGCAAATAGGCTACTTCCTCAATTTCCCTCATCCCTTACCTAGACGATCTGATCTATGGCAGGGGTATCAAACTGGTGGCCCTCCAGCTGTTGCAAAACTACAAGTCCCATCTTGCTTCTGCCTTTGGGATCATGCTTTTGTAACTGTCAGTCTTGCAATTCCTCATGGGACTTGTAGTTTGGCAACAGCTGGAGGGCTGCCAGTTTGACACCCGTGATCTCTGGAGTCTCACGGCACCAAGTCCTGAGACCTGGAAAAGGTGATCCTCACCTTGGAATCTTTGGGGTGGATTGCCAATCGGAAGAAGTCCTCATTGACTCCCTCTCAAACCAAAGTGTTCCTGGGGTATGTAGTGCACTCCAGAGTCCAGAAACTCTTTTTATCCCAAGAGAAGGTAGTGAGGATGGTCTCTGCATTGTTCGCAGTTTCAAATTGCTCCTGGAGGCACATCATGAGAGTCCTAGGAATCATAGCAGCCTTCATTCCAGCTGTGGAGTGGGCACAGTTACATTCCAGGGAGCTTCAGTTTTTCCATCGATCCTCTTGGGATAGAAAAGCAGAATCGCTGGATGAGGGGGTTTCCCTCCTGGCTGAGAATGTAAAAAAAAAAAAAAAAAAACTCGCTGGCATAGTGGCTCAGGCCCCAGAATCTGGGGGAAGGAAGATGGTGGGTGCAGTGGGACCCAATTCAGGTAACCACGACTATAAGCGAGTGGCTCTTGAGGAGCTCATCTAGAGGACCGACAAGCCCAGGGCCTGTTGGAGCCACACCTAAGGGGGACCTCCTCCCAATTATAGGGAGTTGCTGGCAGTAAGTCAGGTCTTGAAGTCCTTCAAAGACCAAATCGGAGGAAAAGAAGTCAAAGTTCAGACAATACGTTGACAGTGGCATACCTGAAATCATCAGGAGGGCACCAGATCCTGGAAGCTTCTGGACCTAGCTCAGGAGGTTCTTGGGTGGGCGGAGAGCAGGGTCCTTTCAGTGTCTGCTTTAGCGTTGGCTGAGCCCTTTTATGTGGACCGCAAACTTTCTCAGCCAACAGTTAATCCACCAGAGAGAGTAGGAACTCCATCCCGAGGTCAGATTTTTGGCAGCCCAGAAATGGACCTTTTTGCCTGCAGGAAAAACAGGAAAGTGAGGCATTATTTCTTCATGGCCTGAGAACAGGGATCTGAGGGTCTGGATGCATTAGCACAGGAATGGGACTTTGAGCTGGCATATGCATTCCCCTCCCTCTGGCATTGATACTGCAGGTGCTACAGCAGTTGAGTCTTGCCAAGCTGCAGACTGATCCTGTTCGCTCCATGGTGGCTAAGAAGAACCTGGTTCGCCACTCTGAAGAGGTGGTTTGTGGCTCCCCCGTGGTGTCTCCCAGTCAGGAAGGATCTTCTTTTGCGGGGTCCAACTCTGCACTCCAGTCCGGAGTTTTTTTGTTTTTTTTCGGTCATAGCTTGGCTCTTGAAAAGGAGATCCTTAGAAGAATGGGGTGTTCTGAGAGGGTGATAGACACTCTTCTCAGTAGGAAACTAGTTACTAGAAAGATATACACCAGGGTGTGGGGAGTGGTTTCTAGTTTGTCAGGAGAAGGGGGTTTCCCTTCCACAGCCCCTGTGATGTTAGACTTTCTCCAGGCAGAGGTGGATAAAGGTATAGCTGTAAGCACCCTAAAGGTGTGAGTGTCAGCCTACTAGGACTGTTTGGACCAGAGCCTCGTGGACCAGAGACTCGTGTCAGAACCCCCTGGTTAAGAGGTTTCTGGGGGCCAGGTAAGCAGTGATCCCCATTAAGATGCATAGTTTTCCAGCTTGGGATATGACCTTACTGTTATTTGGCTTTAACCAAGCCACTGTTTGAGCCAGTGGCCCCTGATTTTTGTTAGGATTTTATCTTTTACGTTGGCCTTCCTGTTAGCCATCACTACGGAAAGGAAGATGGACGTTCCTCAGAGCCTCTTGTTCAAGGAACCCTTCCTGGTGGTATTAGAGGACAGGGTAGTGCTTAGACAGGATCCTCTTTAGTTGCCCAAGGTGGCATCATGGTTTCATAGGAGACTAGATTGTCTTGCCATCTTTTTGTGAAAACCGTACGAATGAGAGGGAACTTAGTTTGCTGGCATAATTGGATAGAGTAAAAGACTTCAGGAAGTTGTCACCTTTTTGATTTTGTTTGGTGGCCCAAGGAAGGGACAGCAAGCGGCTAAATTGACAATGGCTAGATGGAGTAGGCGAGCCATCTCCTTACCTTTTATGAGCAGTCGGGTTTCAGTTCCTTTTACACCTGAGGGCTCACTCTGCTAAATTGCAGGCAACCTCTTGAGTGGAGAGGACCGGAGCATTGATTGAACAGGTCTGCCAAGCAGCCACATAGACAAGCCAGGACACCTCTGTGAAGCACTACAGGGTAGAGCTGTTGTCACCTCAAGACCTGGCATTTGGCAGGAAAGTATTACAGGCAGTGGTTCTGCCCTAAGGTAGGCCTGAATTCCTTCTTTCTCATCACAGGTGTGCTGTCCTGGAAGATGACTAGAGTAAAGTACCGGTAACAGTGTTTTCTAGGAAGTCTTCCAGGATGGCAGGCCTACTTTCCCCCCCCCCCCCCCCCCATGTCTGGTGTTGATTAATTTGGGGAAGAATACCTTTCTTGCACCAGGGTGCTGGAATACTCTTGCATTACTGAGGAATGGAGGAAAAGGTGGGGAATTTAAACTATCAATTTTTGATTGTGTTTCCTGTCAGGTGGAGCTAGTCATCTCTCAGGTGTGCTGCCCTTGTAGACTTCCCAGAAAGTGTACCTGGTACCTTTTAAACCCTTTTGTGTCTCATTAAAGATCTGTCACTAAAAAAAATATAATCATATAGGAGACTTTGTCCTCTGTGATGGGGGAAGGAGTTAGATAAAGAAAAAAAATTAAAAATATAAAAAAACAAAGTTGCACCCAAGAACATAAAATTCCCCACCAAAAATTAAATAAACGCAGTGGGGGTTCCTACATATGAAAATGTACCGTATTTTCCGGCGTATAAGACGACATTTTAACCCCTGGAAATCGTCTACAAAGTCGGGGGTCGTCTTATACGCCGGGTGCTGTGCTGAAACCTTACCGTACTTCCGGGTTGACGCTACTGCGC